TCTGGCCCCTCCGGCGTCCGCCTCCTGGGCCTTGGGGGCGGGGGGGGGGGTCCGCTTGGCTGGGAGGCTGGAGCGGGAGGCGCCGGCGTCGGAGCGGGTCCGGAGGGGCCCCCTCGGGGCGGAGGCCTTTCCTGCCCGTGTGAGCGCCGCAGCGCCACCTGCCGCTCAGTCGCCCCCAATGCTCCCTCTAAGCTGTGGAGTCCTGTGAGCAAAAATTCTACTTGGTGAGCTGCTGGCATTAAAGTTGCGAGCAAGTGATTTGGCTACTGCATCAATTAGTTGGCTCCGGAGCCCTCCTTCCTGAGCTCAGACAAAAATGTGTGAGCCGGAGGTTGAAAAACTGTGAGCTAGCTCACACTCACTCAGCTTAGAGGGAACACTGGCACCCCCCCCCTCCCCGCCAGGGCGCTCGGCCTGCTTGGCTTCGGTCCGGGTGCTGCTCTGGCCCTCCCCAGGTGGCTCCCGTGTGCAGTGGGGCGGGGCTCCACGTCGGCCCCGCCCCCTGACCCCTCCCTCTCTGTCTCCCCTCTCCCCCCCCACAGAGGGCTTCGTGCTGCAGGTGGCGCTGGACTGCCCCCTCTCGGCCCAGGGCCGCCTGCTGGGCGCCAATTGGACGCTCGCCTTCAACAAGATGCCCTTCGTCTGCTACAGCCATGACTACCAGGAGTTCATCCCCTGTGGCCTGGGCGACTTCCCCGGCTGGAGCCAGGTCGCCGGCAACCTTGCTGACTACTTCAGCCAGCAGTTCCCCACCTGGGGCCGGGCCTCGCGGGACCTCTGCCAGGAGCAGGCGCAGCGCCCCGTCTGGGCCGCCATCCGAGGCCGGCACAGGAAGTCAGGGGGGTGGGTGGGAGCAGGGAGGGGGGCTCGGTCCAGACATCCAGAGCCTCCCTGGGTTGGGACGGAGCCGCTGGGAGCTCGACCTTGCAGGCGGGGTGGCTCTCCGGAGGGCAGCTGCCTCTGTCACACTGGGTCTGTGGTGCACGCTGAACAGGCTCCGTCCTCCCTGGGAGCTGAAGGGCATGGAAGGCAAGTGAGGGCCTCTTGCCTCTTAAAGGGCTAGCGATGGCCTCTTGCCCCTTGGAGGGAAGCTATGCACTTTCCCCCCTTGAAAGACAAGCAGTGGTGTCTGTCCCTTAGCAGGACAAGTGACGGCCTTTTCCCCTTTGGAGGGCAAGTGATGGTCTCTTCCCCTTGGAGGGCAAGTGAGGGCTGGTTACCCTTTGGAGGGCAAGTGAGGGCAGGAAAAGGAGTCCTCAAGGTTCTGGCTGGGATGTGTGTGAAATGTACAACACTAACTCCTGCTCCCCCCCCGCAGCACCCCCCAACGTCCGCATCTTCCCCATCACCCCTCAGAACACTCCAGCGCCCGTCATGCTGACCTGTGAGGTGTGGGGCTTCTACCCGGCAGACGTGGCCGTCACTTGGCTGCGGAACGGGATGTTTGTGAAGAACAGCGGGGGGGGAGACTGGCCTGGAGGGAGGGGAGACACCCCCCTCCCCCAAAGCAAGAAGGGAACAGGTCCAGTTTGGTGTTGTGGTTAAGAGTGGCTGACTCTAATCTGGGAGAACCGAGTTTGATTCCCCACTCCTCCACATGCAGCCGGCTGGGTGACTTTGGGTCAGTCACAAGTTCTCTCAGAGTTGTTCTCCCAAGAGCAGTTCTCTCGGAGCTCTCTCAGCCCCACCTGCCTCACAGGGTGTCTGTTGTGGGGAGGGGGAGGGAAGGCGATGTAAGCCCACTCCAAGACAAGGGTGGGGTAGAAATCCAACCTCCTCCTCCTCCTCCTCTTCTTCTTCTTCATGGGCAGAGTGGCATTCCCTCAGCACCAAGGCATACGGATGGGCACCATGCCCTGCCCCTATCACTTCCCTTTTTTAAAGGAAGAAATCTCAAGGAAGAATTCCCCAAAGAGCTCCAGGGCTGGGCCTTAATTGCAAGGGGGCGGGGGAGGTGGAGTGGTTAAGTGCGCAGACTCTAATCTGGGAGAACCGGGTTTGCTTTCCCACTCCTCCACATGCAGCTGCTGGGTGACCTTGGGCGAGCCATAGTTCCGTCAGAGCTGTCCTTGAAAAAGAGCAGTTTCTGTCAAGAGCTCTCTCGGCCCCGCCTACCTCACAGGGGTGTCTGTTGTGGGGAGGGGAAGGGAGAGGAGTTTGTAAGCCGCTCCGAGACGCCTTTGGGTAGTGAAGGGCGGGGTATAAATCCAATCTCTTCTGCTTCGGTGAAAATACCCAAACTTTTTTTTCAATTTAGTGACACAAGACTAAACAAGCTCTCCAGAGTTTCTGCCAGAGGATTCCTCCCCCTTACAAATTTGCAAAGTATGGTGGAGTTCCCTCAGTCCTCTGCCTCTCATCAGCCCTGCCAGAACCTGCTGTAGGTGGCTCACAACTTTAACAATGAGACAAAATCAACAAGTAAATCTAAGCAACTGGATGACGTTGGGCAAGCCGGAGTTCTGCCAAGAGCTGTTCTTGAAAAAAGAGCTATTTCTGCCAAGAGCTCTCTCATCCCCACCGACCTCCCAGGGTGTCTGTTGTGGGGAGGGGAAGGGAAAAGAGTTTGTAAGCCACTCTGAGACACCTTTGGGTAGTGAAGGGCCATGGGGTATAAATCCAATCTCATCTTCTTCTTCCCCATTTGGAACATTGTGGACGGGGCCTCCAGGCCCTGGGGTCTCCTCCAGAGGTGGCGTTTTGCAGAATGCATTCTGCTCCCCACGCTGGAGGGAAGAGAAAGGGGGGGTGTTCTCCTGCTTCCCCCCCCCAGCTCGCTGGCTGGCTGGCTGCTGCCCCCCCCTTTAAATTCTCTTGCTTTCCTGTTCCACCACGCGCACGCGTGTGGGACAGAACTCATCCTTTCAAGATGCCCAGCCCCCCAAGCAGAGGCAGCACGGGGAGGGGGGAGGGAGGGAGGAAGACTTCCGGTCTCTGGTGGGGGGGGGACTTCATGGCCTGGGCAAGAATTGGGCTGGGGGGCCTGGAATGGATGGGGAAAAAACCCACCCCAACACACACACTTCTACACGGAGTTGACTTTAATTTCGTGGCTGATGTGGCATTCCTTTGTGTCCTGTATTGTCT